TTCCTAGAAACTGTGTGGAAACAATCCATGTTGCTTTAGAGTCCCATGTTTGTGGGACAACATGGTACAATGTGGCCTGGGTTAAGGTGACAATCATTCTGAAGGTGCTATCTGCAACAGAAAGTAAAGAAAAACCACTTTCACTCATTCATTTCCTTATATTTAACATTTACTAAATATTTCCTACTTTTCAGGCACTGTGGTACATATGAGAAATCTGTGGTACATATGAGAAATTCCCATATTTACCATATGGGAAATCTCAGAAATATTTATTTATGGCTCCAATACAAGATAGGACCTTCCTCAGAAAATAACTGGCAAGACCTTGATTTATGACTTTCAATGGCTATATGTAATAGTATTCCTGCAGGAATTGAGAATTTTCTTCTATTTTCCAAAATGCAAGCCAGCAGTAAAAATTTAAAGAAAACACTGGAAGACATTTACTTAACAAAAATTGCAGGCTGTGACTATCTATTTTTTTTGTTACATGGGAGAGTTTCATGTATGTCTGAGGTAAGTATCCAGCAGGAATCTTTGGATCAATGAACAACAATCTACTTTTTTTGACGGTAAAATAATTCTCTCTAATGAAGTTTTTAACTGTTAGTTCAAATAAATGCGTCTAATTCCACTGTTTTTTCTGTGATGGCTAATGGGAAAGATTTGCAATCTGCATTTGTTAAAGACTCCATTCAGTCTTCATCTTATTTTTAGCTCTATTAATGACCATTTAGCAAAGATCTTATTCAGAAACAGGACTTTCTGTTGAAATGTTTCACTAAATGTCAGCTATTAAGATTCTGGTATCAACACCCACCATCCTGCCCTGTTCTGGCAAATGATTCCAATGGCCTCATCCTGAAAAGTATGTGTCCTATTAAAAAAAAGAGGAACCAAGGAGCTTTTTTTTTTTTCCCCTGCAAAAAGGACATCGACAGAATTTTCTGGAACAAAGCTAGGACAGAGGTTTTTACTGAATAGAAAATGAAAATGCTAATGTGAATACTGTTTGTCCAAAGCTTTTTGTTCAGAGAGGAAGCATGGTGCAATGAGAAGGCATGCTGCGGTCACTGTTCTCAGCATCACCCTGTCCCTCACTATCGGAGTCACCCAGGACCAGCCACTCAATCTCTGATGTCATTGGCAGAACAGGGTCAATATTATCTCGTTATCTGGAAAAGTTCCAGGAACTCCTTTGTGCCTCCTCACAGCTTTCTGTGCTACAACTTTAACACTGAAAGAAAATCAAAATGGTGAGCATGTTCCATGCAAATAGGAAGCTTCTTGGTTTAATGACATATTGGCCCCCCCCAACTGCCACTTCAGCCAAGACTGAGTTAATAGGAACCAGATTTACCCTCCCACCTGAAACAACCAAAACATGGAGAGAATACAATGGACAGTGTTTTTCCTAGATGTTAGACATCATGGGAAAAACTGGGATTCCCCAGGCCATGGGAAACAAATGAGGTGAGCTTCTGACCGCCCAAGCTTACTACTGTAGAGTTTCCATGCCGTGGTTCCTGATGGGGAGACCCACACAGAGTCTGTGGGGCGCCCAGGGTTGAGGATGTGAAGTAAGAGTCTGCAGAGATCAGGTAGCTGGAGTTCACAGGAGGATTTGTGGAGAAAAAGGACTTGTCAGAAAGAGAATACAGAGAGTGGAGATGGCATGAGAATATAGCTGAGTAGTAATAGGTGCATGAGCGTGAAAGAAATTAACTGAGGCTGCAGGGAAATTTCATTTAAAAGGATTATTTCACACAGGGTCATGAATAAAACCTGTTCCTAACATCCAGATGGGAAAATTCAACTTTGATGGTAGGTTATTCAGAAGGATCTTGCCTCAGCAGTGGGGAATAACTGGTCACAGGCTGATAACTACTCTGATTCAAACTAGCAGATTTTAAAACCAAAACCTAACAGTATCAGCCTCCAAGTAATTTAACTACATAGCAGAACAAAAGCTCAAGAACATTTTTAGGTCTACAAAAATCTCAAAACTCAACAAGATAAAACTCACAATGTTTGATATCCAAGGAAAAATCACCAGGCGTGGAGTGATGCAGGAAAATACCAATGTAATGAAGAAAAATCAATCAAAATCTACCCTAAGTTGACACAGATGTTAGCAGCAGCAACCAAGGACATTAAAGGTTACTCTTTACAGCACATTTCATAGGTTCAATAAGTTAAGTAAAGATATAGAACATATTAAAAAAAGAAACAAAATCCAGATTGGCCATTTAGATATGAAAACTACAGTGTATGAGTTAAAAAATCAGCCAGGTAGGAGCCTCCCCGGTGGCGCAGCGGTTGAGCGCTGGGTTGCGAAGCTGCCCACAGCCACTGCAGAGCCGGTTCAATCCCCGGCTGCTCCCCGGCCACCGGAGGAGGGTCCCACATGGCGTGCAGACCTCTCCTGCCCCCCACCCCCCGCTGCTCCCCTCAGCAGTGTACTTCGGTCCTTCTGCCTGCTCTGCTCCCTGCTCTGGTTCTGGTGAATTCTCTCACCCTCCCGCGCTCCTGACTGTACCCAGTGCTTGCATAAATAAATAAATAAACAAACAAACAAACAAATAAATAAATAAATCAGCCAGGTAGGATAAATGGGAATTGAAATACACCATGGCACATTATATGACTTTGCTTAAAACTAGTGATAGAGAAAATCCTAAAAGCAAACAAATTAAAAAGATGTTATTTACAGAGTTATAAAGACTAGGATGATATCAGCATTCTTTTTAGAAATAATACAAGTAAGACGACAATGAAGTATCATCTTTAACCTAGCAGCAGGAAAAAAACAAACTACACCCTGGGATTCCATACCTAGCAAAACAGTGTTTCCCAAAACCAAAGGTGAAATGAAGATATTTTCAGACAGACCCAAGCAAAAGTACTCAGTGCCATGCTACAGATATTTTAAGTCCTTTGTGCAGAAGGAAAATCATTCCAGATGGATCTATATATGGAATGAAGAACACCAGAAATGGTAACAACACAGGGAAATAACTTATTAATGAAAAAAAATCTTATTAATGAAAAAAATGACAGGGAAATAACATCTCGTTAATAAAAAAAAAGATCATTGACTGTGCAAGGAAAAATAACTGTCATACAGTCTAGAAAAAGTATGACAACCGTACACAGACTAGGTGAGGGTAAATGGTGAGTCCAGATGAGGAGAATCCACGTTGATTGTAATGTACTTGTACTATTAAGAGTAATATAAAATCATTTGAACTAATGTAATGAGTAAGTAGCACATGCATAAGACTGTAAGACCGTAAGTGATATAATATCAATTGACCTGGTATAATATTGTGAACAGTTAAAAATAATTTCTACAAATCTTGTAGTAACCATTAAAATAGCTAAAGAGTTATAGCTAAAACAACAGCAAAGGAGATAAAATAGAATCATAAAAAATATTCAATGAAGACTAAAAAAATAAGGAAACAGAGATGGGACAAATAACAAGATGACAAATTTAGACACAAGCATATCAATAATGTCATCAAATGTAGATGGTCTTCCCAAGTAAAAGGTGAGACCCAACTATATACTACCTATAAGAAATGCATTTCCAATATAACTTTTAGTCAGGTTAACTAAAAGTACAAGGATGGGGAGCAATACACTATGCTAACATTAATCTAAAGTAAACTGGAGTATCTTTATTAATATTAGACAAAGCAGATTTCACAGCAAAACATATTGCCAGGTATGAAGAAGGTCATTTCATAACAATAAGGGGCTCAGAGGCCATAGGCACTTTGAGCATTTACGTACTTATAAGCAGAGCCAAAAATACAGAAAGAAAATCAGATGGGGCCTCCCTGGTAGCGCTATCAAGCTATTGCCAGCCACTGCTGCATGAGCTGGATCCCCGGCTGGCCAGGGAGCTGACCCACATGGCCCAGCGGACCGCCCCTGCCTCGGTCACTGCTCCCCTCAGCAGTGTATTGCAATCAGTCTGCCTGTTCTGTTCCCCTCTCTGTCTCTGGTGAATCCTCTCACCCCTACACCTCAGTTCTTGTATGAATAAATAAGTAAGAGATTTCAATATCCTCATTCTAAAATGAGCATCACTGGGGAAATCTGTAACTTGCTTAGTAAGTCTTTCTTGGTATTTTATAACTGAGAACCACAAATTAGCCTCTTCACTGCTGACTAGAGCATCCCCCCACCCCAGAGCATGCAGCTACTGCTGTGAGCAGGAAGTCTGAGTTCTATTTCTTGTTGGCCCACTACAATCCCTTGTAAGTCTACTGGATCTCTGCTGTTCCTGACCTAAGTTACTTCACCTACTGATGAGGGGGCTGGGCTCCTTCTGAAGTCCTTTCAGTTCTTCATGTCAACGAACATGAGTTTTCACCACTTCAGGAATATCAAATCAGTCAGGTCTTGCACCCCCAGTCACTGGGGAGCCTGCCTGACTCCTCTGCTTGAGTGCGTGGGGCTGAGACTATCACGTGGACTTAGCTGCCACTGACTGTTACTATATTTGTCAATTGTTTACTTAGCTGTTAGTTTGTTGACCTACCTTTTTCAATTTGGGGTTACACTTTTACTTCTCCACATGTGCACATGCTTCACTCACACTCCTTGAAGCCTCCTGTGTCAATGCCCTTCTTCCTTCCTTCCGAACTCTCCTCTCTCCCCAGTTCCCTCTGATAACCAGTACATTTTCCACGGTCTTAAGAATTGCTCCTGCAGTGCATTTCCAGTGCATGCTCTGCAGTTACTTATACTCCACAGATAAGAGAAATTATCCAATAGTAGCTGTCTTTCACCCTCCAACTTTTTTCACTTAGCATAATCACCTCTAGCTCCAAGGGCTCTTGAACCTTCAATATTAAACCAACAGAGGTCAAAGCTGTGAATAACATGCTTACAGCATTTTTCCAGATTGCCTCCCGATGGCCTTCAGTGCCCAGTGCCCCCAAGCCGACTGTCCGTGCTGAGCCCTGAAGCTGCAGGGGACTTACCCGAGGGGGGACGGCCTGCAGGGCTGTGATGTAGTTCTCCAGAGCCAGGCGGCGGCGGTCGTTGAGCATGGCCTCCACCCTGGCCATGTGTGTCTCCACCAACTGCTGTCTCTCGTTGGCTGCTTCCTGCTCCAGAGACTCCACTTTCTCCTGGAAATGCTGCCGGGATAAACACACGAGTGTGTGAGATGGGAACTCAGCCAGTAGGATGGGACAGCTAATCCATGTCTTCTAAAAGGGCTGGCATAGCCACCATGGAAAGTTGAGTGGAGGATCCTCAAAATACTAAAAAGGAGCTACCGTATGATCCAGTGATTCCACTCTTAGGAATCTACCCAAAGGACACAAGAACAGTAATTCAAAAGGAAACCTGCATGCCTATGTTTACTGCAGCACTATTTACAATAGCCAAGATACAGAAACAACTGAAATGCCCCAAATGGATTAAGAAGATGTATAGACACACAGTGGAATACTACTCAGCAATGAAAAAAGATAAACTCATGCCATTTGCGGCAACATGGAGCTGGAAGGGAAAATGCTAAATGAAATCAGACAGAAGGAAAAAGATAATATCAGATGGTTTCACTTATAGAATGAATAGAGGGAAACCTATATGTAGACTGTAAACAGCAATATGAGTTTTATGGACATAATTATAACTTGAGCTAAGTGGGAGTAAGAACCCCAATTACTAGACGATAATTTGGAATGGTCTAAACTGATGGGAGTATGAACAATCAGTCACGCTCCAGGGTGTGGCTGGGATACCCCGCTTGGAAGAGGATGGATTCAGGCTTCACCTGGATAACTGCTTTCTTATCAGCTTTAGGCAAGTTCTTTGCTTGGCGTTCTGCCTCTTCCCATTCTCTCATGACCTGCAAAATGAGAACATATTAAATTTAAATATCATCTTCCAAAAACAGACTGAATGAGATGAATTACTATTTTTCTTCTATTTTTGTCATTCTAAACACACACACACACACAAATATCGCATTCCATTCCTTTCTCAATTGTTGACCTCCTGATGGGATGTAAACAATCAATCATAGCAGAGTTTTAAAAATAAATGTTCATGGGCCTCCCTGGTGGCGCAGAGGGTAGAGCGCAGCACTGTGAAGGTGTCCGCAGCCTCTACAGTGCTGGTTCGATCCTTGCCAGGCGGAGATGCCCACATGGCATGGCACACCTCTCCTGTCTTGCCCACTGCTCCCCTCAGCAGTGTATTTCATCAGTCTGCCTGTTCTGTTCCCCACTCTGTCTCTGGTGAATCCTCTCACCCCCCTGTGTCTCTCGCCTGTACCCCAGTTCTTGTATAAATAAATAAATCTTTAAAAAAATAAATAAAAGAAATGTTCGTATTTATTGCAGTAATGTGGCTCTTGGAAACCAAGGTGGTCTCTTTTCTTTTCCTGAGAAATGACTGCAAGTCACTTTATTTATTTACACAAATGTTGATGATTCATAAAAGACATATACTCCTTCCTGAGCAAGGTTTTCCAATATTATACTGAACCCAGTGATTTTAGTCTTTTGTGAAAGCAAGTCATAAAATTTCAAACTGCATATTCTGCAAAAATACGAGGGTAAAGGCATACGTAGTATTTTATGCAGCTGTATGCATGTTAAGAACACAATGCCCCAAAGAAATACATAACACAGGAAGGAAAAGACTACTTTCTGTTGTCACAAATCCTAAGATCCACTCCACTGAAGGATTGATGGGCAAACTGTTTTGTTTGCCATGAACAGCGTATAACATTCTCATTCCCTCCAGAAATTCTGATACAGCAAAATAATGTTTCCAATACAGCAAAAAGTTGTGTTTGTCAAGTAATGTTAATTTCATAACCAGGCTAATCTGTTTTATAGGAACATAAAACTTCCTCCTCTCATCCTTGATGTTTACCCGATATTTCCCTGAGACAAGTTCATTTATTGATCTACATGCAAAGAGGAAAAGTCTGGGGTTGTTGAAAGAAAATGCTGTTAGATTCTTGCCATCTACTGCTGCCTTTTCTCTTTCAAGTATGCCATTCCTTGTCAAGGAGAGTTTTTTTAAGTGTAACTCCTACCTGAGCTAGGAAAATACAGGAAAGAAAGTTAAGGAAGCAAATAATGTTTGTTGACAGACGCGTGCTTGCATATTTTGTGGATCCTACAAAGCACGAAAGAACTTGACTTCTGTACTGTAAGAGAGTTATTTATAGGTATCCCTAAGGAATGGGTTGATATGACCTCCTTGATGCTTGCCAAGAAAGAGGGGAGAGAGAGAGAGATATGTGCAACAAGGAACTGTTGATAAAGAATTTCTATGAGATAATATCACATCACATCATCACATGGGTTCTTTATTAGATCTTTTACTATTATAATGCATTAACTTATTGAATAAAACACTAGCTTTGCATTGTTGTTTTCATGAAATTACATTGAAAATAGGATGGAGGTGAATTTTCTATGCCAGTTAAATATCATATAAAAAATAATCTCAAGAATTCACAGTAACATTGGCATAAATGCTGAGTTCACTGCAATGACCAGGAACATAACTCATGAGAAAAGAAACACGTTTCCACCTGCTTTGGTGTCTGGAGATAATAAAGGGCACCTAAGGGTGGAGGGAGTAACTGAAGATTACTTATATTTTAGAGATGAGATAAGCCTTGCAATAAGAATATTTCAATTTCCTGTTTGAGAATGTTCAGAGCAGCAATATACTGCCATGAATTCTTTAGGCAAGGAACCTGAAAATTAGTTTGAGAGGGAAGCGGAATGTGAACTCTGATTGCTGCATTACATTTACATGTGTACTATTTCAACTTGTACCTTCAGAACCTAGATTTTTTTTCAGCTTTGAGTTAGGTAATCCGTAGAACGGTAAACAAGATTTTATTTAGTTGATGAACTGTAAATAAGTTTTACAACACAAATGCAATCCAATTTTGATTTTTTCAACTCTAATAGGAAAAGATTTAGTTACTCCTAAATTCATGTCAGCACTGTCCATTATAATCATGTCATGGGAAGGGGAGTAGCCCTGGTGGCTTAGGGGTAAAGTCTCAGCGCTACCACCTCAAAGGCCCACCACGACGGCCTGAGTTCGATCCTGAGTTCGATCCGCGGCCAGGGAGCTAATCCACATGGCATAGCAGACCTTTCCTGCTTCGCCCACTGCTTGTGACTCTCAAGACTTTTGTCCCCTGTGGCTCAATCTGCCTTTATAAAATGGCAAATTCAACAGGTGAGCTCAGTTTATTTATGTTTGGTAATAGGAGTCAGGGCTATTCCTAAGATATTGATGCTTATCTTAAAAATATCACATTTAGAAAAAGGACAACTTAAGTTCCCAATAACTGCATATTAAGGATATATGAAAACTGCTAAATTCCTAGTAATAAAGGCACTTATTCACTATTCAGATTTTTCAAGTGGCCAGATACTATTCACAAGAGAGCCACAGAAATCTGCAAGTTAGAGTTATAACCCACAACAAAAGCAAAAGCAAACCCCCCGAATCCTCTGTATTTGTAAGACAACATATAGTAGCAAAAACTGCAATAAAAATCATTTTGAAAGACTAAAAATGGATCCAGGATCTGGACTTCATGATTGCTCCATATATTCTTATAAAGCAATTTTCCACTGTATCCACGGAAGTATTAGTATCACTGGATTTATGGCTTTTCAAAGACTTGGCTGTTGTCATGTAGAGAAAATAACAACTAATTCATAGAGATTTAAGAAGCAGGCAAGTTCAAAGTCAAACAGTCCCCAGAATTCAGTACATAGATTATGGTGATAAATGTTGATCCCAGGCATCTCACTTTGCTATGACCACTGTCATGGAACAGAGAACAAATTCTCTGCTTCAGAATAGCATCTTCAGCAAACATCAAGTTATCACAGATATCATTAATGACTATACGATTAAGAAAATCTATCAAAACTGATACAAAATAAATCAGTTAACTAAATGTGTTAAAATAAAGTTATGTTACTATTTGAGGAGTGAATGATGGAACATCGGAACCCTCCAGTATTTTAAATCAGATTTTCTTGATAGGTTCAAAATGACTAAAAATATGGGGGAACAATTTATAATTGGTATTTTTTCCCTAATAATGACTATTGACATGGAATCAAGGCAGAAATGCAGGTTAATAAAGTGTCTTATATAAACTTTCAAGGATGAAAAGATGGAAAGATAAAACACATATGCCCAATAATAAATGTGGGGAGTAAACACTGAAGAGTTCAGGAAAGGCAGAAGCAGTGGCGACCTGTCCCAGGATGAAGGCCATGCAGTGTGTATGGTGAGATCTGTGAATCTGAAGAGTGGAGGGGCATTTTCAGAAGAGTGGAGGGGCATTTCCAGAAGTCAAAGCTGTGAGCTAGGGAGGTCCGAGGGAGCGGAGAGTATGTTGGGTGGAAACAGAACAACAGTTCAGTGCTGCCGATGAGATGATGGTAGCAGCTGAGTGTGAGCACAAGCAGGAAAAGTGAAGCAGGGGCAGGAAGTGGGGTACAGGGGTGGGCACTGAAAATGCCAAGCTGAATATTCAGGGTGTATTTTTGTGCATCCTTTTTTGGAATTCGTTTTCCCAGAAATGGATTTTGAGGGCACTGTGGAGTCTCTGAAAGCTTCACAGAGAAGTGAGCTAGGATTTCCATTTAAAGGACATTATTTCATAAGCCAGAAAGAAAAAGAAAAATACCGGATGGTCTCACTCATAGCAGGAATCTAGAAAACTTAAATAAGGACTAGGAAAAGGAATAACTATAAGAAAGAAAATATCAAAATCAACAAACAACTATGAACCAGAGACACTCTATGGGGTGTGGGGGGCGGGGAAAGGAGGGATTGGGGTCAAAATAAGGGGGTTGTAATTGTATGGGGAATATAAAAATAAAATTTAAATTAAAAAAAAAAAGGACATTATTTCAGGCGCAGTAAGTGTGGCTTACAGTCAACGCATGCTTTTTTAATTTTTTTAAAATTAAAGTCACATTGCCTTATAACATTGCATACGTTGCAGGTGTGCATCTATACATCAACATCTGTATATCCTACATTCAGGTCACCTCAATGATTATGAGTAAGTCTCTAACTTTCCTAATGAAAAATCCTATCTTTTGAAAGAATTGGCTTTAGATGAAACCTTACTATTCCCCTCATTATTCCATTCTACCTAGCTTTCAAAATCACTTGAGATTTTCATCACAGAGAACAACTAGAACTACACATTTATATTCTATAGCCAAAGTCTTGTATACATCTCTCTCCACCCCTCTATAATGTTTATTATTCCAAAGTAGATCCAAATGTTGTGGTCACTCATCTTAAAAAAAAAAAAAAAAAAAAAAAAAAAAGCAATTGTGTTGCACCTTTCTAGATACATTAGCAGTTCCATGATCTAAAATACTGATTCTATTATTATTACTAAGGTATGATGAGGCCGACAGACCAGAAGATGACTGTTGGTTCCCAAAAGGAGGGCACTTTATACCACGGGGGCTTTAGGGGTCTCATGGAAAAGCACCTGGGGGTCAGGAGGCAGGGAGTGAGGGAAAACAGGGGTAGGGGTCTTCATTGTGTCTTATGGGAAGGAATGGGCAAGGCAGGGTAAGCAGCCAAGTGGGCTGAGGAATGGCTGTCTTCAGTCCCAGAGTCTAGGGGCTACCCTTAGTTTTCTGCTATCCCAATTTTATAGCCTTGGGGTGAGTAGTGCAGGTGGCTATGAGCCAAAGTATAAGAGCCTGATAAAGAAGGAAGGTGAGGGTATGAGTTTAAGAGTGGTGAGTTGTATATGAAAGACCTGTTATTTGCTAGGAATTGGTTAGCGCTAGGAAGGGCAGTGCCCCAGATGGCACATCATCAGAAAATAAGAGGGTATGATTAATACAGTCTAATGAAGACTTAGGATCTTAACATATAGATGGAAGATACACTCAGGAATCTCAATTTCTACCATGAGACCTATTAAATATTTGTACTAACTATGACAAAAGTTACTCACACCTGTTAATATTCACTGCAGAATATTAACACCTAAGAATGGCTGACTTTTTATTTTTAGCCTGAGATCTTTCTTCCTGTACTCATTCATGTTTCTTTAAAATATGACTTGACTGCTTTTTTACTTTCAGTCTTAAGAGAATGGACTCTGTGTTAGAACAGTGACTGACAAATAAGTGCTGGATACATATTTGTTAAATGAATGAATGAACGCAGACTCTGAGAAAGGAAACAAATTTTCTGTATCTAAGTAATAAATTAAACATCCAGTACCAGGTATTTACAAAATAGTACTAATATTTACTATATACTATATACTATAAACTATAGTAGGTTTTATTAGAGTATCCTTGTTTTGAATGCAAGTCATTTTTCATTTGTTTCATAAGGAATTTGCATTAAAAACAAAATCAGAATTTGTAACACAATGTTGTAAAAAGAGCACTATATTAGGAGCAAGTAAGACTTGATTCAAAGTTATAATAAGCAGGCTCAAATAACTTATTATATATTATAAAAAGTTATAATATCCAGGTTATAATAACTTGGTTCAACATTCTAATAGCCAGGCTTTAATATAAGGACATTTATCTTCTTTACTTAAACACAAGGTAATAAAACTACTATGAATGTTGTAAACATAACTTAATCTGTGCTTTAAAAAAATCAATGAAGCACACCTGCAACTTATATGCTATATTGCAATGTTACTTCTATTAATAATGAGAAAATAAAAAGAAAAGCATTAAAAATCCTAATATACTTACTATACGGGGATCTTGCTTAGGTAGCGTGCTCAAAAAAGACTTGAAAAGCGCCCAAATCAGGCTCCCATAGGAAACATTTAAAGTTGAAGACCTGGGGCCTCCCTTGTAGCACAAGGGGTTAAGCACAGCACTAGGAAGCTATCTGCAGACTCTGCAGCACTAGTTGGATCCTCAGCCAGCCAGGGAGATACCCACATGGCGTGGCAGACCTCTCCTGTCTCACCCGCTGCTTCCCTCAGCAGTGTGTTTCAGTCAATCTGCCTGTTCTGTTCCCTATTCTGTCTCTGGTGAATCCTCTCACCCTCATGCACCTCTCCCCAGTTCCTGTATGCAAAAATAAATAAATCTTCAAAAAAAAAAGTTGAAGACCTGGATAAAATTAAAGCCCCTCACCCACCCTTAGGAAGTCCTCAGTCAGAGGCCCCTGGAGCCTTTGAGACAATGGCTCCACCCTGGTTTCCCCTCTATTTCAGAACTAAAAGATGGAAGAGTTATATTTACCTGGGACATTCTCTCTCGGTGTTTGGCCTCCAGCCTCTCTTTGGCTTTCTGGAAATGGGCATGTTCGTTCTCATCCCCAGGGGTCTCCAGATACTTATCAACTGCGTCAGGAGTGCTCGCTGCTGTTGTAGGAACTACAAAGCAGAGGGGAGAAGGTTTGAGAAGAGGAGCAGACTATCAGGTCATGTCAAAGAAAGCCATCTTTTCCAGGGCAAGGAACTTAGTAAAGCAGCACATTCAAGGTGTTAATGCTGTTTAAGAAAACACAGACATTTCACAGCCCATAAGGATGTGTTTCATTTCTTTCAAGAAGAGGGAGAAGGAACATTTTTAAAAGTCATGTTGTGAGTGTAGAATCCCACTGAAATTCTTTGCAAAACAAGCACGATAGACCAAAAATGGCATTTAATACAGATATGTTGTCACAAATTCCTATGCTTTGCTAAATGAGCTTTCATAACCTTGAAAGCAAACAATAGCATCACCATGCCACGCCTTAAGATACCTACAGAAACAGAAGAAATTTCATAATTACCCTGCTGTAGAGTAACACCACTTCGGGGGAAAGGCAAATTCTATCCTATGCATTTTAGATAGTGTGGCTACAAAGCCATCTTTTGAAAGAAGGCATTTAAACCCTATAAAAAGCCCCCGTAAATGTCAATAAATGCAGTTTTGGAGTCACAAAAGGACCTATCTGCCTTCACAATTTGGCAATAGTCAACCACTTCATTATACCAGCTGTCAAAAAGAAAGGGATTTCTATTTTGAATTCAACTAATATTACTAAGCAATATTAGTTGCAACATATACAGCTATATTATGTGGAAACGTAAAAACCCATAAAACTGAAGCATGTGCTATAAAGCAAAAATGTCTTCACCCATGAGTTGAGTGAGTTATAATGCCTATACAAGCAGTTTCCCAAAAGATTAGTAATTACTAGAGAGAATTCAGTGTGTTTATGAGCTTACAAACAAACCAAAAAACCCCACACATACACAGCATGAAAAGAAACCAACATTTTGATTTAAAGAAAGCATGTTCAACCTAAAAAATGAGATAAGCTGGTTCTGTAATATTTTCAGGTTAAATGAACTTTCCAAACGTCACTGTGTTCTAAGTATTCTTCTCCACTGTCCTTAATCTAATTACTTCATTATCATGTTTGGGATGTAATATCCCGAAGAGGACTCAGATGAAAGAATTTATGGATAATTTGTTTTGAAACGAAGTTCTCAGTTAAAGGTCTTTTATACATGCTTCAACAAAACATCCAGAATATTAAGAATGCAAAGGCTCCGAGATTCGAACCAGAAGAGTTTTTTTTACTATAGAATTAAATAATACCTTTAATTATAAAGAGACACATTTGTTCTGATTTCTTCTAACTCAATCACCACTTGACAAATCATTTTTTTAAAAAATAAAAACAACTTAGATGTCTATCCAGATGTTGCTTTCAGGCAGAAAAAAGAAGATAAGGCATAGATTTGGGATTTTTTTTCAAAATACCTGCCTGTCCATACAAATATTCTCTACTAGGGGATTTTGAGTCAATTGGTATGCTACTGGCATGGGGCCTGGGTGGATGTATATATACCTGCCCTCATTTTGTGCAGTGGGGAGAAGCAGGTATTTCAGCAGCAAAGGGAGAAGGCAGGACTGTGGACCTGGAAATTAGGCACACCTTGATTTGAATCCCTGTTGTTCCAAGACTAGCTGTGATCCAATTAACTGAGGTGGCCTATGTTCCAATTGCTTCATCTATGGTGGGTGATAACACGCCAACCTACTACAAGCGTCAAGATGAGATGTCACACCATGTGCTTATCACCCTGCAGAAAGGGAGCACACGGGGGATTTCATGCTAACACCTTCCTTCTTCCTTGTTTATTACCTCCTCTTCAAGTCATAGAGCTTAGCTAACCCCAGGAAAAATCAGCTACCTTTATTTCACATCCTCTGAAAATGAAGCACCAACTACTGGAAAAGTAATGTGCATTTTTCTAAAAAATCTTCAGTGTGACCTGCATAAAAAGGCTGACATTATTGAAAATGAATCCTTAGTAAGACTGAAAAATAACTTTCCATTTAAAATCCTTGTTATAAAAAAAAAATCAAAGGTAAATGTTTTTCTGCACAAAGTCAAGCAAATACATATGCAAGTATTTTTAACTTCGTCATTTCTCCACTTGAAATTGAAGTGCTATTTAGCATTTTAAATGTTTCCCAAGGTTTTAATCATTCTCTCATCGTTCATGGCATAGCTCAAATGAGAACGAGTTTGAGTTCTTTTAGTATAGTACAAGCTGGCAGAATGACATAATGAGGGAAACTGCATTTTACATTTTGAACAAGTGAAAATGTATAAATGCTTGGGGGAGGGGGGCTCTTGTCACTCATCAAGATAACCATTTGCTCTAAGAGTCATTCCATAACATGGCATCCTCCTTAGAAAACTGTAATTATAAATGTTACTATGTAAGCAGGAACGTTCTCCAATTCTTATGACTTGCAAATATTGTCTACAGTGTGATAAGCAGCAAAATCTGAGTCATTGTAATCTTATTAGCTTAACTTGAAATGTAGCTTTGCATTCTTTTATTAAGAATAATGATGAAGTGAGCATGAGTGTGTCACAGGATTAAGAATATTTCAAACACTAAACTTCTTTTTTAGGTACATGGAAATAAATACAAATACTACATGACAGTTATTCCTTTGAATCAGGAAATATTTTTCTTTGAGTAAATTTTCACTAGTGGTCCCTTTGAGGGACTTGCAGAAATGGTACTTCCTTTTTAACTTTTAATTCAAATTCTTTAGCCATTCATACTGACTCTCTACCTCAACTAGCATGAGTGAATATTCCTGCATTCACACCAACAAGCAAGTCAAAGACAGACGAATGATGGTGCACTGATATTTTAAAATGAATATGATTTTGCTGTGTTTTGTACTGTTATTATTTTCCCCCCTGATGTCTTATTTGGTTCCCCTAGATTCTTCCTATAAGTGAAACCATCTGATATTTTTCTTTTTCCTTCTGAATTATTTCACTGAGCATAATTCCTTCTAGCTCCATCCATGTTGCTGTGAATCGCATGAGTTTATCTTTTTTGATTGCTGAATAGTATTCCATTGTATTTTTTACATCATTGTTCATTTTTAAACAGGTGTGGTCCCCATAGAATTTAAGCTGTGGTATACCTATATCTCTATCTATCTATCTATCTATCTATCTATCTATCTATCTATCTATCTATCTATCTATCTATCTATCCCTGTTTAAAAATGAACAATGATATAAAAAATACATAAATAAAAGAAAAAAAAAGAAAAAATAAAAGAATCTGGTGTTTTATTATCAGTACACCCAGCTGCTGGTAGGAAAGAAGGGAGAACATTTTAAGAAGGTGTTTGTCCAGAGTGCTCAGCTTCTATTTCTCTAATTTTCCGACATCCCAAACACAGTCTCACACCAGGATGGGCTACTCCTTTGTGATAAAGAACAAGGTCGGCCAGAGACATATTAACTTGGAGGTGGGTGGGGGCAGGAAGAACAGTACATGTCACTATCTTTTCAAGGGGCTTCCTTTCAGGAAAGTGAGTTGCTCAAAGAATTCCAGGGAATGTTCCAGGGCAGAGTGCAACAGGAAGCTGTGTATCACAGGTCACTTAAAACAGAGGCCACCTGAACCACTTAGGAAAAAAAAAGTGAGAAAAAACTGGCTTTAAGAGGGCTGATTTTGTTGTGATTTTTTAAACTACCACCAAGCAGCGTGTCCTGTTCAAAGACCTCTGGGGGGTTCCTTAAAACTGTGACATGGGCCAAATAATAGCAGCCTACACCAATTAGCATCTCCTGCGTTGGGGGCTTGGCACATGTTCTCATTTTACACATGGGAAGAAAGAAAAATCACCCTATTACATTTATTGCGTAGAAGGGAAACACTTCCATTTACTACACTCACTCACACTGGCCCTCCCGCCTCAAATACATCTGAGTTGAGGATTAAGGAAACCACAAAAAGCTTATAAAATTAATATTCAGAGCCATGAAGGGGTAATTCATCCACACATCTGAGTACTGAAAAGGGCTTGGTCTTGTTCAGGAACAAGAATTGGCCAGGATAAGGAGTAAGCTTGCTAGGGTATCTGTCAGTCTATTTTTTTTCTTTATTCCCTAGATGCTGTTTGGTAATGATCTCCAAGCAGCAGCTTTCAGGGGAGGCAGGGTTACGAGAGAATCAGGGGATGAAACCCTGGAGTGTGAATGTGAATGATGTAGTCTTAGACTCATTCACACTCATCATGCCTTTGGCAAGCAAGCTGGCTGGGTGCTGTCACCTGATCTCAGAAAACTAGACTCAAAAGTCAAAGCTAAACGGTGGACTGCTAGATTTTGTCCGCCAGCTGCCAAAGTATTAGCTACACCATCATCATCAAATGCAAGACTTTTCAGAGGCCCTCTACATTTTTCCTTTTTTGGTATAAGCATCAAAGTCAAGATATGGAACCATCTCATCTCAAAGCTTTTTCCTGCTACATACAAGGATTCTTTTATAACCACAACCCTTCCCTCCCTGCCCTCTGGCAACTATGAATCTGTTCTCCATCTCAATGATTTTGTCATTTCAAGGACATTCTTTAATGGAATAATCTAGTAAGTCCTGTTTTGAGATGGATTTCTTTCGCTCAGATGATTTCCTTGAGGTCCATCCAAAGTCCTACTTGTGTCTATCAATAGTTTGTTACAGATTATGGCCAAGGAGTATTCCACCCATTCATTTCTGAGTTCCAATTTTCTCCTCTGTAAATTCTATCGCATGGGTTCTTAGGGTTTGGCACTCTAAAGGGCTAAGATCATTTGTTTGAACAAGTACTTACTGTTTTGAAAAAGTGCTGTGACACCTCAAACCAGTCAACAGACCTAGCGGTTGCTAGGGAAGGTGCTATGTGCTTGGGTACTGTAGTGTACCCTGACACATAACCGTCACCTTCAAATAAGCACGAAACGGACAACTTTCACAGGAGTGTTTAAAGGAGGTGTCTCGTTAACAAGTTTCCTCAGAAAAAATTAAAGGGGCTTCCCTGGTGGCTCAGGGGTTAAGTCTCAGCACTATCAAGC